GACGGAAGGACCGATGGAAATTCTGCGGCCAAAGTCGTGACGTTTGCTTGATAACGCGATGATTAGGTTAGTCTTCTTTCCCAGACCTTGAACAATTGCAAGAGGCTGTGGTGTGTGATCCTTTGAAATCTATGAAGAGTTGGAAAAATGGATCCTGGTGGACCAAATGGATGACGTACACAAGAGGTCATCCAGCCTTGAGGCCTTGAGGCCTGAGGGCATGGAATTTCGGCGCACAAGTCGGCATCTAATCAATCCATCTCTTGCTGGTGTGTAATCAACACATATACAAGTGAGGTTTATTGAGCCAAGAAAAACTTTTGACCTCTTGACTCTCTGCCTGGGAGTCGAACCCAGCTTTCGCGCGGAAACAAAGTAGTAGTCAGTGACAGGCGCGTGTACTAACCGATATACTAGCAGAGAATCTTCGTGTTGGGAGATCTAGATGGGTATGTCTCAGATAAACATCGAAGTACACTGAACGTTGAAGCTCACTTGCATGGAAGTTGGCTACATATACTATAACACCTCTGCCTATGTCTGTGCATGTGCAAGGACGGTGACCGGTGAAGGCGTGCATGGGCGTGTGCAACGCGCGCAAGCCAGATGCGTGGGTATGTGGTATTTTGTCTTGTGCGCTCGTGAGGCGGCAGTTGCCTTTTGGCAAGGGCGCGGTGAAATAGAGGGAAGACAGGGAGCCACAAGAAGAAGTCTGAGACGAAGAAGACGAAGACAGAGATGACGAATAGGGAAGCAAGGAAGGAGGAGAGGACAAAGGGAGACGACGAGGAAGAGGTGGAAGAAGAAGTAGCAATAAAAAACATCTTCTTTTGAATCTGCCAATATTTGTTTATGCGAACTCCTTCAATTTTTGCTACTTCTCTTTTGTCTCAGTGTTCGAGTCTTTCTGCTCTCGTGTCATGTCTCTCAGCCTCGACGTTCCAGATGCAAGCGAAATCCATCGACTTCTTTGCATAGGCGCTGTCAAAGACGACTACCGAGTCACCTTGACAGATGTTACCTTCGTCAAGATGACCGAGAACGAACACTATATCTTCAGGGCGAAATCGTCTGGA